ATATAATCTCTGGAGAGTGTATAACTCCAAAGTTCCAAATATCAGAAAAAGACTCAGGCAAGGCTGCTTATACTCTAATGTGTCCTTTTGGTCTTTTCTTCAGCCTCAATCTTCCTGGCCTGGTAGAGCTTGAGCAAAACAATCAGGCAACCATATCCCTTCGTGCCTTCTCATAATGAAAATGATCTCCTTTACTGTCTACCTCATATTTAGCACTAAGTTGTTTTCCTCACCAACCAAACCAACCAGTTTCTCCACCCTCCTTTCTGAAGTTAATATTTGCTGAAGAAATGACACTTACTTGAATGTCGGCCAGAGCCACATGCACATGCCATCAACTAAGTCAATATACAAGGGGGTAAATCCTGCATGGAATGCATTTCAAAGTGTAGATTATTTGGTGAGTGTACCTGTGGCTAGTAATGCTGCGTTCTCATTGGCTGAGTCTCAAGTTCGTCCTCATACTGTCCTTGGCATACCAGATCAGGTATGCAGAAGAACTTTGAAAAGTTAAAAGCGGCTGTTCAAGTTTGGGGTCAAATCGTTTTGTTGTCCCCATGACTCACTTAAGAGGGAGACACACGTAGTAAAATACTTGACAAAGGTCCGGCAGGGTTGGAATTAGGACCTGGGTCTTCAGACCTATACCCAGGACTGAGCAGGACAAAGGCCCCCTGCCACCTGCCTGTCCCACCGCCGGAGCTGGGTGCTGGCGAGCCCCCAGCCTGGCCATCTCCCCTCTCCTTTCCTCCCCCTCGTGCCTAGTTTCAGGAAGGGACAGGTTTGCACTGTAGCCCCAAGGGAAGGCTTCCAGCTCTCCTGCATTCTTTCCCCACAACAGGGCGGCTTGTCGGGTCCCACCAGTTTCCGCAGAGAGCTGTCTCTCACCACTCCTTCTCCCTGCAGGGTGACAACAGCTACGACTTCCTGTCAGCGGAGGAGAAGGAGTGTCTGCTCTTCCTAGAGGAGACCATTGGCTCCTTGGATGCCGAGGCCGACAGCATTCTGTCCACTGACGAGTCAGAGCCAGCGACAACTCCCCAAGGTTCCAGAGCACTGCCCGTCACCCAGCCAGCTCTGCAAGGTAAGACAGACTGGCTCTGGAGCAACACCACAGAAATCAGTGCTCCTCTGGCTACCTCCCACCTTGCCCGCCCTCTGTTCGGGGGTCACAGGCAGAAGTGGAACCCACACTCCTCACCACCCTCCTGGCCTTGCCCCTGGAGGGAAGGAGGGACCTCCAGCAAGCCAGCTCCTGGAGGGAAAGGGTTTTAGGAGGCTCCCACACTCCCTCTCATGGAGGAATTCTAAAGAGATCCAACCCTACAGGTTGGGAAGGGGTGGAGAGGCCTGGATGGCCAGCGCTGGAGAGGCTGGGGAGCCAGTCTGTGAGAGCCGGAAGGTGGGGCTACAAGGAGAAAAGAAGGAAAGGGCTTCCCAGCTGTAGTGGTGGCACCTTGAGGCCTGTGTCAGAGAAGGTGGAGAGTCAGTAGTGTGCAGGCCCAGAAGGGGACACAGGACTCAGACCTGTGTCCCGGGTGTGGGGAGATCTTTACTTCTGAAGACAGTCCCAGTGGTATCAGGGCTACAATTGCTTATCCATTCATTCAGCAAATATTGACAACACATTAGACCCTCCCTGCAGATAGAACAGGAAGCGGACGTGGTGCTAACTGCCCCTTGGGGCTGACTCACCGGCCTGGACCTGCAGCACATGCTGGGTTTGCCAGAAGGAAGGAGGCTGTGTCACTGTCCGGGGCAGAGAACTGTGCTGCTACCTGGCCGTCCAGGTCTCACAGAAAGTGAAAGGAGGAGAAAGAAGGCTCAGTTCCTGGGATCCCCAAGATAGCGAGGAGGAACCATCTTGAATTCCCCACATCTGGCACATCTGTAGAAGGTCACCTGAATCAAGGGGAAGAGCAAACAGGCCCACAACCATCGGGAAAAGTAATCCTCAGTCTAAAGGCATCTGCTATTACTGATCTATGAGTACAGATCAGTGGTGGTGAACCTGAGGCCAAATGTGCAAACCGCAACCCAAAACCCACTATGGGTCTCAGCGCCAACACTGCAATTACTCTTGAATACTGAGGTTTCAGTTTATTGTTTGTTTGTTTTTTGAGATAGGGTCTCACTATGTAGTTGAAACTGCCCTGGAACTCACTATGTAGCCCAGGCCGATCTCGAACTCACAGTGATCCTCCTGCCTCAACCTCCCAAGTGCTGGGATTACAGGTGTGCGCTACCATGCCCAGCTTTGAGGTTTGAGTTTAGAAAAACAACTCAGACATTAACATCTTTTGTCTTAAAAGAAAAACACAATAGCACACGTGCCTACATTTGCCACCACTGGTCTAGATGATACCCAGATAAAAGTGTTGCTCCTTTAAAAGCAAACAAAACAAAACAAAAAACAAAGCCTGTTGCTGGTTGGATCCCAGGGCCTGGAAATCTTTGCTCTCCCTCTGTGGCAGGCGTCTCACCTCCGTGCACTCTTTTCTCCTGTCCTCACAGGAAACCCAGGGGCGATAATTACTCAGCCGAGACCAGAGCTCAGGAGACTGACCGAGACTCCCTCGTCCTACCCTCCAGAGGGGGGCCTGGGCCGCAGGTCTGGCTCCTACAGCCTCCCGAGGAATATCCACATTAGCAGAGACCAGAACTTCAGGAAAAGCACCGCCCAGACTAACGGTCTCTTCCCCGGAGGAGGGTCCGAGGGGCACGTAGCAGAGCCCAGGAAGGAGAGGGCCAGCCAGAGCAGTGGGGCACCAGCCAGCCCGCGGAGTGCTGCCCTGGGTCTGGACACAGTGCTCATCCCTCCACCCGAGGCTTTCCAGGACCCGTGGCAGGGGCAGAGTGGGAAAGACAGCCTGCCCGAGGGGCTGGGAGAGCAGAGCCGTGCGCCCCTGCAGGTGGTGGCACCCATGTCCCATACAGCCAGCAAGAGAGGCGCTGCAGGGTGCCCTGGACAGCCACTCGCCCCTCCTGCCCAGCTGTCTCAAGATGCCAGAGCTGAAGATGCTCCCTTCCCATCGGGGGACAACTCACACACCCCTGCGGCCCCCGTCACCGCCCAGAAGCCCCGGAAGCTGCCCCCCAACATTGTCCTGAAGAGCAGCCGCAGCAGTTTCCACAGTGAGCCCCAGAGCTGGCGGTCCCGCCATGCCGAGGCTGGAGAGGCTGCCCCGGCCCCCTCCTCCCTGCAGGAGCAGAGGAAAGCACGCAGAGAAGCCCTGAAGAAACTGGGGCTACCCCAGGACCTGGAGGAGCCCGGCTTCCACCTCAGCCACCCCGCCAGCTCCGTCAGACTCAAGAAGACCCAGGCTCAGGGCCCTGCTACAGCACCAGCCCCAGCTCAGCCGGTGGCTCTGGCCTCCGTCTCAGCAGCTCTTCCTGCTGCAGGGAAGGCTCCAGCTCCAGCTCCGGGAGCCTCTCCAGGCAAGGTTTGCACTGCTGCCCAGGAAGCACCTCCAGGAAAGGCCTCAGCTCAAAAATCCTCGCCGATTCCTATCCCTAAGACCCCAAAGGCAAATAGTCCCCCAACTAAACCGAAGCCAGACTCAGGACTGACTCTCCAGGAGGGCAGCATCCTGGGCCTGAAACAGATGAACTTCAAGTCCAACACTCTGGAGCGTTCAGGCATTGGGCTGAGCAGCTACCTCTCAGCTGAGAGAGACCCCAGCCCCAAAGCCAGCACTTCCCTGGGGAAGGACTCAGTCTTGGGGAAGATCTCTCCCAGTGTGCTACGTAACTCCCGGCCACGCCCTGCCTCCCTGGGTACTGGGAAGGACTTTGCAGGTATCCAAGTAGGCAAGTTGGCTGACCTGGAGCAGGGCCAGAGCCCTAAGCGTCTGTCCTACCAAGGACAGAGCCGTGACAAGCTTCCTCGGCCCCTCTGTGTCAGTGTCAAGATTTCCCCCAAGGGCCTCCCTGATGAGCACAGGAGGGAGGCTCTGAGGAAGCTGGGGCTGCTGAAGGAGTAGCTCTGCCACAGATTAAGGGATTCTCGGGTCGGCTTTGCAACCTCAGAGCTCAGGGCTGGGCACAGCGGGCTTCTTTTAGATGCCTCGCTCTCTGAGGGGAAGGGACGCGGAGACTTGCTGCCAAGTGTATGCTTATATTCAGGGTCTCTGGCCATCGAGGGCCTGCATGGACAGAGCTCTACACAGGAGGGTGTGTGTGCGTGCGTGTGTGTGCGTGGGGAGCTGTGTATCTCCCTGACACTATTTATGGAACACAGTTCTGCTCTTGTTGGAGCTTTGCTTACAATGGGTAGAGTTCGCCTTCACGGACTGAGTGGAGAGAGGTGGCCAAGCTTGAGAAGAAAGTCAAAGGACACAGTGGAAGTACAAGTTACTTTAAAATTGACATTCAGGGCATAAGGTCCTGAGAACCCTGCAGCAGACACAGGCCGGCTCACACCTTGCTGGACGCTCTCTGTTCAGGGCCTGGACGGGGCCTGGAGCTGAGGGGCTGGTTTGTTATCTCTTCGCCCATGGCCTTCTTGGTGTCACACACCCCGGGAGCAAACCTCTCAGTTCACTGATAGCAGAGCAGCCTCCAGGATCTGGGAGGGCCGGATAAGTAACTGCACTCACTCCTGGGAGTTTGCGTCCACAGCCTCCCTCGACAGAGGCACCAGAAACTGCTGCTCACCAGCCTGCCACACTGCTCTTGCCCTCTGGCTCCCTATCGCGTTCTGCACCTGCCTGACTCGGGGTCTGGTCATCACCAAGGCCGAAGCCCCCACCCAGAGGCTCAGCAGGGACCGTGGAACCGTTCCAGGCCTGGTCCGTGCCGTTGAAGGCAGCTTTCCAGTGTCCTCGGCTCCCACAGTGGGAGTCAGCACGATGTATGGGACATCAGCACTCTGAGGGAGCCCAGGGAAGCTCCATCCACCCTGCTGGGGAGGATGAGGGGCCCTCAGGGTTACTCCACTTGGCGGCCACGCAGAGACGGAACCTGTGCTCCCGGGTGCGCTCCCCCCCGCCACACTGCCACCCTCACCGGTGCTCAAATGTCCACAAGGACTTGAGTTCACGGTCACTTCCCCCCTCCAGCCCTTGGCCCCTCCAAGAGCCTAAGTGTCTTCTGAAGCACCAAAGATTAAATGCTCAGTATAATATTCAGTATTGTGATTTTTAAAAAAAATTTTATCTTCAGAAAGTGGCTGTATAATAATTCCTTCTTGGCCAGAACACTTCTCTGCCCAGGTCGCCCGACCAAGCTGTCTGACCTTAGCAAACACCAAGAGAGGGTGACCTGAGTAGGGGATGTGGTTTTGCGAGTTCAGGCTCGGCGACCAGGCACGACCCTGCTTCCCCTCAGCAGATACATCCTGTCCATGTCTGTGCCTGGCTTGGAATCCGGAATATCCAGGTGTGAGAGGCAGATAAAGCCACCGTTGTTAGAAAGGCGTCCTTTAGGTCTTCACAGCATTTCTGGGCAGGTCCTTCTGGACCCATCACCATCTGAAAATGGTGCCGCAGTCAGGGTAAGGGTGACAGACGGCTCCACCCTCTCACGGCATGTGCTGCGTAGGTGTGGCAGTTTCTGTGTACACTCCACACATGCACGCACGTGCGCACACACACACACATGCACACACACGCACACACACACTGGAAGCACAGTGCCACATTCCTGGCCCCAGGGGAGGAGCGGGTTGTCACGTCCATGGGAGGCTCAGCACTGGGAAGCTGCGTCTTCTCACAGGCCTCTTCTGGAGGACAGATTCAGCATGCTGTACCCGGGGAGCTGCTTCGTGTGTATTTCAGGACACAGCCTGGTTCCTTATTTATTAGTTGCCCCAATGGAAAGGAAACAGAGACCTGGTAGGAGTCTGGCTCTGGCCTAATACGAAGCTGACCAACCCTGAGTGGTCAGAGCACTGCCTGCTACAGCCCCAGCGCTCAGGCAGGAGGTTTCTCCCCAGGCCAGCAGAGCCGCACGCAGCCTGTCCCTGCCTGTCCACGTCTCTACCCCAACGAGGCGCTCATGCCTCCAATTCTCCCCACTCCAACAACTCCCTCCCCTTCCCCGTTATGTAAAGACACCGCCCCCGCTCCGTCCTTGCCCTTCAAAGAGTACAGTCTGCTTTCGGGCTGACCCAGGGGACTCAAGGACAGGTAATAAATCCAAACTTGGACCTCTTCATTGGAGGAGGGCAGGAGGAGCCGGTGAGGACGTCCACCTCCCTGACCTGCGATGCCAGACCCACCTGTGATGAGGTGCTGGCCTGTCCATGGCGTCTACACAGGGCTGCCCTTCATCCGCTTGAGCTGCTTGGGGAGTGAGGGTGGAGTCAGAGGGCTTGGGCTGGAAGTTTGTAACGAGCACCTATCTAACTTCCAAAGCCCAGCGACCTCGGGTCTCGGTACCCCCTGCCATAGTCTTGTTGCTGCTGGGCACAGCCCGTCTGCCAGGTGCAGGTGCTGGCCTCCCCCAGGTGGCACGGTCTGTGTCCTCAGCTGTGCTGCCGGACTCTCCTGTGAATCACCACTCGTTCTGCCCTGGCAGCCCTGCACCCCGACTCCAGGGTGGCAGCGCAGACCGACGTGTCGGGGATGGGTGGGCGCCTCTCACCCCCTCCCGCAGTGGGAGGTGCGGTCTCACAGTGGGAGGTGTGCAAGCACCCCTGGTGGCTTCGTGGGAGGAGGGGCCAGCGAAGGACAGGACGGCAGGACCTGGCTGATGTTCGGCTTGGAGCGGGAGGTGAAGGCTGAAGACTCTACAAGACGGGAGAGTGCGTGAGGCGAGCCCCTGCCTCACTGGGTCTGCTGTGTGACCAGCGGAGGAGGATTGTGTCCTTCGCACTGCTTCTGTATTCTCTTCCTCATGTGAGTGATCACGGAGCACATAAATCTAGGCGCACCTCCCAGTCCTATCACTCACCCACCAGCTCCTCTGGGGAGACCCTTTAACTTGGTGACCTCAGGGTTCTCCTTGTACAGTGGGGGAATACCACCGCCCTGTCACAGCTGTGTGTGTGGATAAGTAAAGCTCGGTGCTGGGCACAGTGCAGCTGCTCAATTAGACAGTGTTGTCTTCAGGCTCTCCGTCCATCTCCAAGGAACCAGATGTGGAGAGGGATGGAAGCCAAGAGCTCACCCAACTCTGCGGAGAGGAAGTAGAAGAGAGGTTCCTGTATATAAAAGTCCAAAGGAACAACTAGAATTCGGCACACCCTCCGAGTGACTCAACTTCTCCCACGCCAGGTTTCCTGGAATTTGCAAAGAAAAGAATCAACAGGAATCAGGTTTGTGCCTTGGTAAGGCTGAACCTGGGCCTTCAACTTTGGAATCCTCAAGCCAGATCCCCGTTGACTGTCCGTCTCATGCTGCCCAAGACCATATGTTTTACGTCTTTACGCTTCCTCTAACACCCTTTTTTGTGCTGAGTGGTTCAGGGAGCTATACATTGTTTTATAGTTATTTTTAAGATGGAGGAGTAATATCTTACGTAACAACAAAAAATTCTGGCTGAAATGAGAAAGAGAAGCTGAAAAGTTTTTGAAGTTCCTGGAGCATGAAAACAAAGAAAACAAAACAGGGCAGGCATCTTTTTGCAATGAATCAGGAATTAGTCTATCAGGAGACCAGAAGTTTGTGACATGAGCCCCTCCATCCTCTGGTGCCAGGACACCGCCCTACAGGAGTCATCACCCCTCCGTGGTCCTCACCGACACCGGGACTCAGATGAGGTGAAAACAGGCACCGTTCGGATCCCAGCTTGCCCTTCTGTCCTGCCCATGATCACCTAGTTAGATTGCTGTCCTCACTCACCACTTGCTCCGTATCCAGAGTTCAAAATACTATAAAACACGGCGGCATCCAGACAGAGCTGTGAGCCTCAGCTTTTCACTCCATTGCCCTCGTGACAGAGATGCCTTGGACATGATGGTCTCCTAGCACGCCGGCCCAGAATGCGTGTGCCAGGAAAGTCCAAAAAAGTTAATCAGGAAGCTCAGCACCCTGCAAAAGATCTCACAATAGCCCACATGCCAGAAGGAGATCCAGGTTTTCCAGTACAACCTCCCACCTACAGAGGAGCTGTGTGTGTGTGTGTGTGTGTACGCGTGTATTCTGCATACATATGCTCAGAAAGGCGAGCGGGCGGGCGGATAGATGGGAGAGGAGAAGGGAGGAAAGCGGGGAGAGATCAAGAACATGGTATGGCCAGAGACTTGGGTTTGGGAGTCTGGCTTCCAGGGCCTCTGCACCTCAATTCCTTTTCCAGCCATTACTTTTGGCTTCCTTTAGCATCCTTTATTGTGTGGTTCAAGAAACTATATGCTAACATAGATACTGTTTATATTTTTTAAATAGGAAAAAGTGAATTTAAATCATAATAGGCTGAAGCCCTCCAAAGTAAGTCAATAATAATACTTAAGTCAGTAATAATACTTATCCCTTGAAGGTTTTATGGGAATAGAGTCAAATGAGATAATACACATAAAACACTTAGCACTGGACCAACTGTAGCCTCACCTGGACTCCTCAGGTGAAACACCACGTTCCTCCAAGTTTCTCAGCCCACTGAAGCCGAGCTCCCGAAAACCCTGTCCTGTCTGCATCCGGGTGCTGCCCGGGAGCGGCCAACCCCCCACTCTCCTTGCTCTGCTCTGTCACCTCAGTCCCTCACTGCTGCTCAGGGCCAGAGCCCAGGCCTCTCCAGCCGAGCGTCAGATGATGCCAGGCATCTTGTTTTCCAAGGTTTTACCAAAGCTGAGACAAGTGGTGCCAAAGTGCTTCTGCGACCACGAACCCTGCCGTCTCCCAACTTCTTTGCTCTCTCTTCCCTCCCAACTGGCAGCACAACCAGAAGATCCTCCGCTGCACTCACACTGGGGGCCCTTCACGATCTGAGCATTAACCCGAGAGACTTCGTATGAGCAGAGGAGACTCACTGGACTCCAGCCACAGGACGAAAGGGAGACCCCTGGGTGCTCACTTCTTCCGGCTCACCCGTACCTCCCTCCTCCACGGGCTGAGGTGGACTCCAGAGAGGCTTCCTTCCAGTCAGTTCCCTGTACCGTGCAGCTGCTCGGGTATGGACAGACGTTTTTCACCTCCTCCCTGAGGGGCAGGGGTGCCTCTGCCTCTGGAAAGCTGCCTTGGGTTTTAGCGGAGAACAGAGGTATCTTTGGGTGCGGTTATGGCATCACTGGCACTTTTGGGTGGCTTGAAAACAGGCACAATTCTAGCCTTACCTTCCCCATTCCTCCTCTGACTCGGGAACCAGGGACTACCCTGGCCTGAGGAGAAGCTGAGGAGTTTATTCCAGTCCCCTTCCCCTGAGCAGCCAGCGTCCTGCAGGAAGAGGTCCAGGTCACTGCCAAGGTTTTGTGATGGCGCCTCTGGTCCTCCTTCCCCACCGGGCTGGAATAGTTCCCCAGGCCGCTGCACTCACATTTCCAGACTTAAGTGTCTGGAAGACCAGGGCAGAACTCTCCCTTGGGAGGTTTCCCGCCAGGCCACCCCACTGTGCTCTATGCCACAGCCGTCTACGCCATGTTTGAAAGGGACTTCAGGCTCGGCAGCCCAGAGAAAGAGCCTGTGCCCCCCCCCTTCCTTCTCTCACCCTCAGTGTAGAAGCAGTGGTCTGGTGGTGGCCTGCACACCACGCAGCCTGCCTCCAGTTCCCCATCTGCCCAGCAACCAGGAGGATTTTGCACCAGTAGCGCATTACCTTTCATGTAAGGAGGAAACTTGAGAAAATACACGTTGTCTACACATATGTGCAAAAAGGAATGCAGGAGTAACCCAAAACTTGGGATCGATTACCTAGAGAGGGTGGCAGGGACGCAGCAGGAAGAAAGGGGAAGGGAACTACACTTCCCTGAGTATGCTGATTTATATGGCTCAAATCTGAAGCCCTAGAGTACTTCACATGCCCATTGAGTACACAAGCGTGCACACATGAGGAAACACTGGAACCCACAAACTGAGAGATGTTCTGCAAAATAATTGACCAATACTCTTCAAAAGCACTGTCGTTTGAAAGACAAAAAAGCCCAAAGAAATAATCACTCATTGGAGGAGGCAACAAATGAGACAGCTAAACACATGCAAAGTAGTGTCCCAAGTTAGATCTT